CCAGATCACCACTATTCAGCATATCATCGGTGGTAATAGGCAGGTAGCCTTATCTTACTCCTGTATTCACTTCAAATGCCTCGCTGAACTTTCCGTTGTTGATCACCTGACACGTGGCAGGCATTGTCATACAGCCAGCTATTGATTGAGGATGATGAAGACTGGGGTACTGCACACCATAGTTATGATAGAGAAGATTTGTAGCTCAGGTGGATGATTTTGATGTGGTTTTGTTCTCCGAGCTGGATGGTTAGTTTGCGAAGCTTTCATCACCTTACTGGGTGACATCTTCAGTGCATACTTCAATTCGCTGAAGTGAGCTTTTAGGTTTCTCCACGAGTTTATTAATCATTCCTCCTGGTGACCTTGGACGTGATTGGTTGTTTATGTATGTTTTCACACCTTCTAGGTTACTTGTATTGGAACCGGTTGTTTCTTTGACTTGAACTTTGACCCTTTGTGTGTGAAGTTTCTTTCTTATTGGTTGATAAATTTTGTCTATCTCGATGTGTCTATTGATTGATGATCCACTGGAATGCTAAGCTTCTAAAAATTCTCTGGCTAGCTGTCTTGTTATTTCCTCTGTCTAATATTTGAACGTTGTCCCAGTCGAATTGATGTCCGTAGTTGTCTGTGTGTAGTGAAATGAGGGAGTGGATATCTCATGTCTTTTGACGGCTAGCTTATGTTCGTGGATACAAAGACGAAGAGCAGGGACGTCCACTTTGGCCAATGTAGTGTTTTTCGCAGTTGTTACAGTTTATTTTGTAGATGATGTTGGTTTTGTCTTCTTTCGCTGTTGAGTCTTTCGGTTGACATAGAATTGAGTGCAGCGACTTTGTTAGTTTGTGTACGACGTCAATTCCTAAAGGTGTTTGAAGAGTCTTGTAGTGATTTCTGAGATATCTTTTATATATGGTAAGGCAATTTTCTTTGTGCACACCGTAGTGTTGAAGTAGTTTCCAAATTACTTTTCCGTCAACGCTGTCTGGTGAAGGCTTTCTTTGAAGTCAATGAAGTTGAAATAGACGTTTGACTGGTTACAGATAACAACATTTAAGTCGATGAGATCCATTATCCCTTCACTGTCTAGAATGAAACAATTCATTACCTGCTCAACATTATCAATAAAATTAAATTTATAAGATCAGCTGTTTTATTAAAAATTACAGACATTACTGCTCATTACCAACAAGATTACACCATTGTGAAAGTAAGTGTAACTTAAGGGGTTAAAGTAAGAAAATTGGAAAGCTATTTTATCCTCCTTTAGATTTAATAATTATTATTTACAAACGAAAACAGGCGTAGGATATTTTATATATGGTATTAACAATGTTAACTTTCCATTTGGTTGCGTTCAATGATTTTGGTTGTTTTAATTGCAAACCTTCAATTGTCTTTCTAGGTAACATTTTCAGAAGAAGCTTTAATATACTCACCGAAGACATTGGCTAGCGGTCGGGCTATGTCGTGAATTGGCAGAAGTTAGATTTCAAGGACCATTAGATCGGGTCCCAGTGGCTGCTTAATGGTATACGAGTTCGCCTTGTAACCGGAAGGTCCTGAATTCGAATCCCGATGGGTGTGTACTGCTGAAGAGTCCCAAACTAGGACGTGGGAAACAGCTGTCTGGCAGTACTCCCAGGTGGTTTTCCAATGGTTCTCTAACTAATGTCAGCTCATGATGAAATCCTGAAATAAAGTGAATTTGTTTGAATTCTACATGAATGATGATATAATTGTATCTCCTGACAACTGTTGTCATGATTGGTTGTTAATTTACATTTCATTTGATCATTTTTATTATCATGGAGGTTGAAATTTCCTGTCGTGTAATTTATTTTTTATTAGTTGGTAAATTGGATCTATAGTAATATTCAGGAGTTGATTTCTAAGAATCTGATTTGTTTTTCGAGTTTGACCACGGATTAATACCACGGATTAGAGAACCATTAAATCCAGTACTGCAGTACGGGGCAGCTGCTTCTTCAGTCTTATTTGGGACTCATCATCAGTACGCACCCACCACCAGAGTTCGAATCCAGGACAATCCGGTTACAAAGCAGGCTGGCTCGTATGCCATTCAGACCCGACTCCTCAACGGCTACCGTATGAATTCCCACTTCTACCAATTAGTGATATTTGGTACGATCCATCCTCATTCCCAACTGGATTATTTACACTGGTCACGACTTCTCACTGAAACTCCTAAGAAACTCCACTCTTTCTCAAGACACTAGCGAGAACCAGATTAATCTGACGAATTGATAGAAGTTAGGATTCATGAGCTATTGAATCGAGGCCCATTGACTGAATGCTATACTAATATTATGTCTGTTTATCGCTGACTCATCAGCGTGCCAGGATTCTAGAAATTCTCTGGAATTTCTAGTGTTGACTTTGTTGAAAATCTGTACTTTTTCCGAATCTAATCGGTGTCCGTAACTATCTGCATGCATTAATGTAAAAGATTACATGCCGTGTCTTTTCACAACTAATTTATGTATATATATATATATATATATATATTCTGAAACCAATGTAGTGTTTATCGCAGTTTACACAATTTATTTTGAAAATTGTTACAAGATTTCTTCATGAGCTGACATCAGTTAGAGAACCATTTGAAAACCAGCTGGGAGTACTGCCAGACAGCTGTTTAGTCCTAGTTTGGGACTCTTCAGCAGTACGCACCCACTGGGGTTCGAATCCAGGACCTTCTGTTTATAGGGCAAGCTCTTATACCTTTGCTTGGTTACAGGATTTCGTCGAATCGCTACAAACCAACATCTGAAAATTTTATTGACCTTATCATATTCTGTAGTTGGGTCCTCTTGTCTGCATAAAACCGAATGCCGTGATTGTGTTGGCTATGTATGTATTGTATGCTATGTCTACTTCAAATAGTTTTAGTAATCTAGCCGTTATTTCAGAGATATTAATTAAATTTTTTCTCCTGAGGTTTTTGAGGATGGGTTTTTAGTGTCAGTAATTCGATTTAAGTTTAAACAATTTCTGATGAAATTTGTATGCGTATCCCATTGGTTCAAAGGAAACCGATGGTTTAACTGGAATATACGCGCAGCTGATATGTCATACGGCGCGAAGACAAACTAATGATATCGATTGCTTTCGATTTAAACGCTGATTCTCATTTGCCTAGCCTTTTAAACAGAGGCTAAATAACCACTGATTGCTACATTTCTGTCGCGTCATAGTGAAAATTATTCTTTACCTTATATATATATATATATATATATATATATATAGAAAATCACGGTAAAGTTAAACTATAGCAGACAGCACATGATTCTAAACAAACAACCCGAATAAAGAACTGTAAAACCCTTGGATTTGTTGGTCAAACTTTATAGTTAAATGAACAGACTATTTACAGGATTTCATCATGAGCTGACATTGATTAGAGAACGATTGGGAAACGTGGAAGTACTGGACAGCTGTTTCGTCCTAGTATGGGACTCTTCAGCAATACGTACTCACCAGGGTTCGGACCCAGGACCTAGACTATTTATTGGGACTATTCTGAGCTACAAGAGCTCCTGACTCAAAGCCTAACTGCCAACCTATAATACCAACTCCTAACCCTAATATAACTCTTTCGCTTAGTTACTAATGGTTATATAATCCTCAACCTGAACCTTAGTCCTAACACCTAACCCTATATTTTTATTTTTTTTTCTTGATCATAGCTTGAAACCACACAGTATTTTTGTTACAAGTATGGAATTTTCAGGATGTGATATCGGTAGCCTAAATTTTGCAGGCCGACCATTGATATCAGGTATGCGGTGGCCGGTGATCGAACCCCGAACCATGTGCATGGTCGGCATGAGTCCCAACCGCTGGGACACCGACAGACAATATAGGCAAACCAGGTCGGCATGAAGCTCTTGAAGTAAAAATTAAACTACATTTACAACTAGTGACATTATTACTTACTTCGTCACAGTCAATTCGGGGCCTCTCTCACTTATTTTCAACAAAATTATTATAATCATTTCAGGTTTGACCGTGAATTGATTGATATCAGTTAGAAAACCATTGAATCTCGAAATGACAGACGGGTCACTGATTTCTAGCACAAATGACTGAATGGTGAACAAACTCGCCATATGATCTGAAAGTCATCAGTTCAGTTCCTGGAGGGAGGGGTTATAGGTGAGTACTGTTGAAGAATCCCGAAACGAGGACGAAACAGTTAACTTGATTTTCACTCGTTCCTTAACTGATATCACTGTGTGATCAAACTTGAAACAGACCAAATCCCTAAAATTTAACTCTTCAAAAAAAGTAATAAGAATCTACAGGCGAAACTGATGATGATATCAAAGCGGGGATCGAAGAAGCAAGGCAAGCTTTCATTTCTCTCAAGTCTGTGTAGAGGTCAACAGCACTACTCAGCACGGAAATGAAAATAAGATCCAGATTTTCACTTCCAATAGGAGGTCAGTGCTACTCACCTATATGGACCAGAGACTTGGCCAGCGCGTCATGAAAAGCACCTCGAACAAACTTCACACCTTTATCAACAGCTAACTGTCTTCGCTCAATACTACTCATGATCAGATGGCCTGGCAGAAAAGATCAGCAACAGGGATGGATCTCTAAAAATGAAGCAGCGAACCAACCCAGCAGTAAGCTACTGTGCAACAAATCTGCAAGAAGAGATGGAGGTAGGTGGACTGTAGGCCATACTTTGGGAAGACAAACCACCATCAAGTGAGTAACATCCCACTACAGGCCATCGCTCGAGTGGAACCTGAATGGAAAGCGGCAAGTTAGTTGGTCGTCAGTGCGACAATGGGGTGACATGGAGCAGAGAAGGTCGGGTGAAGAAGAGATGAAATCATGTGGGCAGGAGTGGAGCCAGGTGAAAACACTGTCAGAGAACCGGATGGAATAGGGACGTGAGGCTGAAGCCATATGTTCCTCTAGGAACTAAATTAAACAATAATAATTATAACAATAATTTATACCTGCAAACACATAGATAAGCCTATACTCGCTTCTAAATTGAATTCATCCAATCTATTAGCAAATTCATAGACAACTAATGCTTCTTCCCATAATGATTTTGAATCACCCAAGTTAGTTTTTATCATATAACCGCCATAATCCATTAAACAGTTAGCTCGTCCAATATGTCCTTGAAGGAATCCAGGTTCTGATAGCGTTAAATGACGGAATATTTGTTCTGCCTCAACATAATGTTCCAGTCTGTAGAAAGGTTGAAATAAAAAATATTTGACATATATATATATATTATATAGTTTATGTTAGATATTACAAGTCATTCAACACAGAGCGCTACTCCAATCAGGGTCTGGTGCTTGTTGGCACTTATCAAAAAGTTGTATTTAAATGGCTATGAAAACGGAACACTCTTTCTGGGATTAGAATCTTGATTATGAAGTCTTGAAGGTGTGACATTGCCCTACAAATACGAATCACATTTAAGGAAGGATCTGTTTTTTGAATTACTCCTGGTTTTGGTATTCTTGGTTCCTAGTGTTGTGTGACAAAAAAGGCTGTTTAAGTAGCTACACTCAGTGTTCACCCTAAGCTGACACCCCTGTGGTTATCTTATATTTTGAGCATGGGAGAATATCTTTTGATATGTCAATATTAAAAGCAAAGATATATGTGATAATTAAAGGGAGCTGAGTTTTTATGACATCAAAATATTAGTAAGCATTCCTTGTGTCTTGATTGGAATACAAGGCTTTGGTAGAAAATGTCCACTGTATGCAGGTCTCTGGCATTACCTTCAACTAGCTGCTGATAGAAATGGTTTTAGTGAATCGTGCACCAAGTTTTTGATCCATATGGAAACATGGACTCCATCGCCGTACAGAGGTGTGCTTTGTCCGATTCTGGGTAGTTCCAGGACTGATGATGATATTTATGGGACAGTTGTACCGTGTTGGTCTGCTGAGAGTTAGTTATGTTCTAAATGTTCTGTAATTCACTTTGTTTCACCACGTTTTAATGGTCTTTAATGACTCAGATAAAGAATTGGCTATTTGACATAGTGTTGTGAGGTCCATCTAACCTGTTACCTGTTCTGATCGCTTTATAAATCGAAGGTTCTGAGTTGTATCGTATGTATGTGAAGTCATATTCGGGGCATGCTGTTGAAGAGTCTCGACCAAGGAAAAAGCAGCCGTACACAACTCTGTGGTTCACAGAAGTTCTCTACGCAGTGGTCAATTTATGGCCAAATTTATCAAAAAAAATTCTTCAAGTTGACTTCTGTCTTTAGCTTAAAATAATTTCCTACTATGTGACAGGTTCCTACGCATTTATCTAGACGGCTGGAATAAAAATCTCTCTTGATGACTTCATTTTTTTTTTTGATTTACAGCTTGATTCCACACTGTATTTTTGGTACAAGTATGGAATTTTCAGCATGGATATCGGTAGCCCAAATTTTGCAGGCCGACCATAGATATCAGGTGTGCGCCGGCGTGGGCTCGAACCCCGGACCATGTGCATGGTTGGCGAGAGTCCTAACCACTGTGCCACCGACGCACATAGATTGGTTTTACGGAAATGGTGGATTATCATTAGAATGAATTCATAAATATAGAAGGATTTCGAATGGCTTCTGTTACGTAATGACATAGAATTTATCAACAAAACTGAAGTGTATAGCTTAAGAAGGCCATTCTCTAAGACGGTATCATTCTTCTCTCCGGAGAATAGAACAGTATGCTTAAAAATCGTGATAAAGGAAAATAGTGAGCAGTACAGAATATCTAGACAAGCTCAGCATATCTAATAAAGCTTAATAATACACGTTTAACCATCTGTCCGACATTTATAAGTTGCTGGAATTCCGAGGGAAGTATTATTTGTCAATAATGTAACTAATCAGCGGAGCATAGGATCTGTTCATCTGCAAGCTGACAAAGTATGCGTAATATGTGCATTTATGGAAGTTTTTTGGAAGTTCCACGTTGTTGTTGTCACTAGCCTGTTAAGTAGAACGCCAGTCCTACCCGCACAGGTCAGATAGGCAGATATTTCCAGTGGATGACAGAGCAATTAATTTTAACAGATCTGTACTCTGCAATAATATCTCTCTCTACTTTCCTCTGTCAACTTCTGGGGATAATTCCTGTTATCGTTTAAATAATGTCTTTAGATAAGTCAGTCAGATGCACGGAGGTTCTTTTTCATAAATATTATTATGGAGAGCTGGTGACTTCCCTATTCTGAACATCCCTTGTATATTTACTTCTTTTCTTCGCATTGCGAAATGGAATTTATGACTTCAAGCTTGGGTTTTGAAGCTTCGATATCAGTGATGATGTTTTTGCAGGGATAGGAGTTTCCAGCCACACGTACAACCTTCCCTCTTTCACCAGGCCTATTACAGGCCATGTGGATTTTGACAGTACGTTGGCAAAGGATGGAATTCCAGTGAATTACGTGGCTGCCGAGCATTATACAGTTGAACCACTGATGTCAAATACATGTCTACAATTGCAGAATTACTGACACGGTGTTTAAAAGGAAGCAGATATTTACAAAGTGCAATTACCAGACACCCACCCTACGGATACGGTTCATTTTGTTGAGATTTCTGAATCTTTCAAAATATTAAACATACAAAGGACAGCGAATGTACTACGATTCACTGAAGCGATTGCATTCAAATGTCTCAGACCAAACTTATGCAGACAGAAAGAGAGTGTAGTCAACCTCTCACTAAAACAGTTTTCAATTTGATGAACTTTAACCTTCTTGAGTTGCCTTGTTGACGTACAAGCTAACTTCTCCACAGGCTTTAATTCGTTAAGAATGTTGAAAAGTGATCACGATATTTTAAAGAGACTTCAACAAGAATCAAGTAATTTGCTTACTTTTGATGACAAATACCCAATGTATGCATAATTTTAATACGGAGACTGGCATTGTAAATGGTGCTATTACCAGCATGAGTACAACTACTTCGCGATATGTTGTCATTGTCTTTCTGCTGTAATTTTTCTATCATAGCCTCTAATATAGTTTTTGCATTACACAAATCAGCTATTGCTGATTCATAATTTTGAAACTTTTCTAGATATAAAAGTGATCGATTAATTAAACTCTGAAGATGAATACAGCCATGTGACGCACCATACTTGATAGACAGTCCGTAGTCCTGAACATCAAAGGAAACAACATATTGATTAAAAGAGGCAAGAGAAAATTCTGAAATAAAATAAAAGAAATTACATAGATCACAAATTCAGATGACCGATTGTCTGTTTGTTTTCGGCATAGAACTTTGCATATATGTGCGGCAGTTCAGCTCGCCACCCTCCATGTAGATGACTGATATCTGCTACCCGACAGATAGCTGGTACCTTAACGTGGTCGTCAGGCTTGCATATCGCGATAACTCAACAACCTACACTGGCTGGAGTATATGTTCCTGCAGGTCCTACCATGCCAGGAAGGTTGTCAGGATAGCGATTGAACTAAAAGCAGTTATCGGCATTGTGCAAGAATCTTTTTTACACTATTCTGGGGGATCTAAGGGCAAAGTCGTACTGCTGGAGAACAGGAAGTAACAGCAGTGAGGTGTTTCTCTGAGATGACCAGCATGTCAGCCAGCTATGCTGTCTCTCCACTGTGGAGAAAGGGGGTTAGAAAAGGTCGACCCAAAGAGTTGTACATCTCGACCTAACCTACGGTGATCCGTAACCCACGGTAGGTTTACTAATAAGGAACCAATCCCAGGAACCATTTCATACAGGCCGTGAGTGACCGACCGGCCTCAAGTGGTTGTCCCCTGGGCTCTGCGGCCACGCAATACTAACCTTCCCTCTGTTTCAGGTACCCGAAGAATCAATCAACTTCTACGGTGTGGGCAGCCGGGAAGTAACAACCGCCCACACACTTCCAAGAGTACACGAAGCCTTCCTGAGCATCATTCTCCTTTACTTACATCACCTTCCTTATTTTGCTTCTCTACTACAGTTAGTACTATTCTGCAGGCTAATGAGTCATCTTCACTTGTAAAAGACGACCGATTGGACTCTGGGGATGAACCAACCAAACAATCAAGAAGTTTATGCCTAACAAATATACAGAAAGAGATTCACGTGCATTGAATATACTCCCTGGTTTCCATATTGGTTTGTTTATTAGCTGTATCACACAGTCAGTGAAACAGTATTATTTACTGGATGACGTTTCGAACACAATTTATTACTGTTCATAATCATACCAATTTATAGTTTTCTTTGTTCTCTCCTAAATATCGTTGCTAGGATAGTAGAATTTTACAGCTATGGGAATTCGAGAGAACAATCCTAGTCTTTGTATACAAAAGAAATTTGTTCTACCTTTGTCTCTCCCTTGGCCTAGGTGAATTCTATTCAAAACCCTCCCACCCTTTCTTATCATCCCTCTCCTTCGTACTTTTATGATATTTATTTAAACTCTGATTATCGTTCCATTTGATTTGACCTAATTTATTTATTTATTGAATTGTCTACATATATGCATATACTAACTTTGTTATTCTTATCACCTATATAAGCCTTATTAACAATATTTTGTTATTATTATAATCATCGCTATTAACTTCGTTCAAAACATTTACCACAATATTATTACTATTATTATTATTTTATTATTATTATGATTACTATTATTATTTGATCCACTAAATCACCGTCATTGGTTAAAATTTTATATATATAAGTCTTTGTAAATTAGAGTAAAGCCTGAAGAAGATCTAATTGAAAACAATATTGTTCGCTTATATGTCTTGTTCTAATATTATTAACAATGGGAATATTTAAAGATATCTGGGTGGACAGGTCCTGAATCATTCTTGTTACATGTATTCTCTTGAGTTGTCTCGATAAACAAGGCTTCCCTCCACCATGTTAGTTGCATTGGATTTTGAAACTGTCATCTTATCCTATCCAACCTATTGTATGGTTGTGTGTAATTGCATGTAATGCTATGGCTAAATTATTCTCTAGATTTCTTATTTTATTTGGGTCAACTAATCTAGATTTTGCTAGTAGGTTTTTTTATTTTGTACTCCGCTAGTCTGACTGCCCTGTTTTACTAATTCGCCCTATGTATTTGACCTGACAATCATTCCAGCAGGCAGGGTATTAGATAAACTAAATTGTTTTGCTTTAAAGGCTCCACAGGATTGATCCTTTAACGGACGAAGCTTATTTCGAATCGAGTTTATGGGTTTGAATACTGGCCACTTTTATTGCTGCCTGCCTTGTTAAGAATTCTGCGTAAGGTGGTTTCCAAGGTTCCTTCCTTGTATGGAATTACTACTGTGGTGATTTAGATTCCTTATTGTTGGTGTTGTCATGCACATTTTTCACATGCTTGTTAAGTTTTGAAGTCGTATGATTATAATTGATGATATGATTATGAACAATAAATTTTGTTCGAAATATTATGGTGGCACAGTGGTTAGGAATCTCGCCGACCATGCACATGGTCCGGGGTTCGAGCCCGCACCGACGCACACCTGATATCTATGGTCGGCCTGCAAAATTTGGGCTACCGATATCCATGCTGAAAATTCTATACTTGTACCGAAAATACAGTGTGGAATCAAGCTGTAAATCAAAAAAAAAATCCTACGCAGTGACCAAGTTTTACACATATATATATTAATACTCCAAGGGGACTGCCAAGTTACATCATGTACATCCAGGGCGACTTAGGTATGGCTCTAAGAATGACATGGAGGAAGTCGTGTGAAGAGTAGGAGATGGAGGCTCATTATAATAGTGAGGCCAGCTTTTATAGACTGTGAAGCCTTATGTTACATTCGAAAGCCAAAGGAACAACAATCATAATGATATCCGGAGATATTTGTTTTGCAGAATGAATATGATTCTTATTCCAGCCTTCTGTGTAAGTTGTGGTGAATCGTCTCAAGTTTACAGAGTATTTCTTTGATGGTATTATGTGGATTATAAGAATCAATTGGTAGCCATGAATTTCCGCCTGCTTCTATTCCCGTCATCGGGATCAGAAATTAGATTACTTAGCTGTATCATCAAAGCACTGATAGGCTAAAAACTTGAATTATGTGTCTGTCCGTTTGTAAGAGTTAAGTTAGATTGTTAAATTATACCACATATAATAATCGCAGAACAATAGTGAAGAACTAAAAAGTCTGACCTTTTAGTCTTCTGGCAACTGTTAGTTACGTGTTCTCGTAATTCCGATGATATTCATATTCGATGGTTGGAAACAATTGACAGGAAGCCTTACTCGACCTAGGTTTTGGTGCTAGTTTACACTCACCAGTCAGCAAGGCCTACCCGCAACCCAAAAAGGAAAATCATGTAACTTCTGACATTAGAACTTAAGCAACCCAGTGCCAACTGCAATCAAGGACGATGCCACTGAGCTACTCGGGCACAAAATTGACCTCCTGTAGAACTACATTGGAATTTTTGATTGGACATTGATCTTGTCCACTGTTTCGTGAAGACTGAATTCTATCAGTCACATGCCAAATAACACGAAACCTAGGTTAGGCAAGGCTTTCTGCTGAATGCCTCCGACCATCTAATATCAACAATTCTGAGTGCACCGTGATGGCAAGTCACCTAGAATGGTGGTCACATTGTAAACTTGATGTATAGAATTCAAATCTCGAAAAATACCCATTTATTCATAAGTAAAAACACAGTTTTTGTTCAGCGAAGAAATTTCTTTTCAACGACTTCATTTTCAAGCTGTACAGTCGTATTTATATTACAGAAAAAGGTTATTAAGTGGCACTAAATAATTGCTCAGTCAATGTACGGATATATGTGATAAAAGTTATAAGGGGTAGAGTTGAAGTGGATAAATTACAAAAATGTTAAAGATTGTTTTATAACAAAAATGTCAAGTGTTGTCTAAAAATTTTGAAAATTAGGAGTACGATTACGATAAGGATGAAGATGTGAAGTGAAGTGGAAAGAATTCAAGTGGTAAAAAAAATAAAATAAAAACTAATAAGAACATTATTATGACCAAGGTAAAGAAAGGGGTTTGACAAAACGCTTTTGAACACATAATTTAGGTTAATGTACTGCCCAGTGAATGTTGGCTTTCGGTAAATCGACCTTAACAGCGTTCCATTCTCTCTTCTATCTAGCTTAACATCAAGGAAGTGAAACGAAGAATCCGACTCTTCTTCGATCATGAAAAGCAAAGATGGTCTCCTTTAGGACCGCTCTTAGCGGACGTTTTCATGGCAAGCTTAGAGAATGGCCCACTAAAGGAAACCATCGATAGTCTGTTTATGTATAAAAGATATGTTGATGATATCTTCATTGTATGTGAGGAAAACTCTTCAACTGCCGAACTTCTTAGAATATTTAATGGTTCTCACCCATCTTTGCTTTTCATGATCGAAGAAGAGTCGGATTCTTCGTTTCACTTCCTTGATGTTAAGCTAGATAGAAGAGAGAATGGAACGCTGTTAAGGTCGATTTACCGAAAGCCAACATTCACTGGGCAGTACACTAACTTCAACAGTTGGGTACCTTCAGGGAGAAAGAGAAATCTTATTCATTCCTTATGCTCCAGAATTCGTAAAATCTGCTCTGTAGAGACAATCGATAAGGAACTAGATAACTTTCGATCAAATCTCCTTAACAATGGATATCCCACAAGGTTGATTGAACGTAATATCAAGAAAGACTCTGCCCGAGACAAGTCACAGTACCAAAGAAAAAATTGTTTATGAGTCTGGCATTCAAAGGTGACACCATTTCAGAATTGATTAAAAATCATCTATCTAAATGTGTTAAACGCACTTTTCCTGCAGCTGACCTGCAACTAGTTTTTACCAGCCAAAATATGATTAGACAATGCGTCAAGGATAGATAGATTACCGCTTATGTCCACATCTATGTGCATTTACTCTTTTACCTGCTCTTGTGTGGAGCTGATTATATTGGACGTTGTAAGCGTAATCTCCGAAAACGTGTAGCTGACCACTATCCGGTTTGGTTAGTGAAAGGCGAACGTAGAACTGCAAAGTCGTCTATTTTTGATCACTTGTTAGAATCTGGTCATTTAGCCCCACGTGATTCATCTTTCAAAGTTATCTACATGGCAAAATCGGACCGTTCCAAAAGTTTACGTTTTCTTCACTTATGCATAGCT